AACCCATGAAATTATATGCAGATTTGGGGGCATATGTATGAATGTGTGTTTTCCGGAAGATCAGGTTCATAGATTTTATCAAGGGTCTCCAAAATGAATCCCAAATGTTAAGAACTGTGTTTGTAAAAGTAATAAATAAAATTCAAACTGTTGTATTTCTGAAGTTGATAGTTTACATCCCTTATGAAGCCTCTACAGGATGCAAACCACTAGATAACATTCTATAGCTGATAAAAATAAGTCAAAAACGTTATTTTGTGTACTTTGGATTACAGATTGAGTTTTTCTAAGCAATGATTAAACTTAACTGTTTCCTGTGCTGATGTTTGGGAATGAAAATGGAATACAAAAGCAAATTATATTGACTAATATATACATGTCGATCTGAAGACTTGTTCAGGTGATAACATTTGGATAAAATTACCCTGAGAGGTAGTCAGCTATTTTTTGTTATTTATTTCTGTGATTTTGTTCATTTTTGTTTCATCTTTCACTGGGGTTTAGTTTTTTGTATGTTTTTGTATATAATTTTATACACACCAACAAATATGTGTGTGTACCTGTGTATATGTATGAATATATTTATATACACATGTGGCCAGGTGCGGTGGCTCACGCCTGTAATCCCAGCACTTTGGGAAGCCAAGGTGGGTGAATCACTAGGTCAGGATATCGAGACCATCCTGGCTAACATGGTGAAACCCCATGTCTACCAAAAATACAAAAAATTAGCCGGGTGTGGTGGCAGGCACCTGTAGTCCCAGCTACTCAGGAGGCTGAGGCAGGAGAATAGCATGAACCTGGGAGGTGGAGCTTGCAGTGAGCCGAGATTGCGCCACTGCACTCCAGCTTGGGTGACAGAGTGAGCCTCCATCTCAACAAAACAAAACAAAACAAAAACATATATACATGCATAGTAAGATTGAATGAGGTATATATTATTTCATTAACATATAATGTATAGTATACAATTATGTCATAATTATATGTAATTTTTAATATATCACCTGTTATATAAATTGTAAACATGTGTGTGTGTGTGTGTGTGTGTGTGTGTAAAATCCTTTCAGTGTCACTATGTGCCAGGCACTGTGCAAGTTGCTGAGATATAAAATGAATAAGATACTGTTGCTAGCATCGAGGAGTGAGTCAAGTAAAAGAACTTGATCTTTATATAACTATTCCAGTGGAGACAAGGCCTAAAGAGTTTTAGAAGTTCAGCTGGAAGAGCACAGGCCAGAGTCACAGACTGTCCACTCTTCTAAATTGGTAAATCTCAACTTAGGCTACAAAATAAAAAATAGAGCTTCCCAGTCCCTCTCCCAGAGATTCTTGTTGAATTGGTCTGAGGTGGACCTCTGCACAGTGTTTTCAAAAGGCTTCCCTGGTGATCCTAGTATGCACCCGTGTTGAGAACCTCAGGGCGGTGTCCTGGAGTGAACACACTGACCCCCAACTTGGGCTCATCCCCCAACTCCACACCCAGGCAGTCTGAGATCCACACTCATCTCTACACACTGTGGCCTCTTAGAATCAGGACTAGTTGTTCTTCTCCTGATCATTAGTTTGCATTTTTATTTTAGAGATGCTGTAAATTTGTTCTCCTTATGAGGCAACCGCTAGCTGGCCCCAAGCCAATTCAGGGCCCAAGTTCTGCTGAGGCACAGACTGTCTGGAATGCACAGGAGCACAAGCTTCAGACTTGTACCAGTTGATGCCCCTTCCCTTTGCCTTTCCTTTTCTTGCCCACTTAGTTCTAACTTATACTATCTTGATGTGCTATTATTCAACCTTATAAGCTGTCTCAGATTCTACTGGGGAAGAAGGAAGACTATATGTTTATAACGAATGAATGAAAAAAGGAAAAAAAAAATACAAAAAATGCACACAAACATACATAGAAAGGACCAGAAGAGGGTTTTTGCAGGCCAATCCGCTTCTTGAAGGGTGTTCAAAGAGGGTAAGAGTGAATGAGTAGAGAAGCGTGTTGCAGGTGAAGTAAAAAGCCGGTGCCCAGACCGAGAATATGCATAGGTAAGCAGTCAGAAGATACCTGTAGAGGACAAAACACGCTAAGAGTACAAAGGAAATGAAGACAGCTCAGGAACATGAAAAAAGGATAAATGTTCTCAACACAGCATCTGCATGAGAACGAATTCCTGTCTTCCCAGTGCAAATCTAGTTCTAAAGGAAGGAGGGAAGAAGTGATGACTTGAGGGAAAATTGAACTTGGAGACCTCCCCAAAGGAGGTGAATTTGGGGCTTGGTTTTGACAGAGGGGAAAGCCATGTGCATATGAGGAAACAAGAGGTTCTAGACACTGCCACAGATGTACGCTGATGGTACAGAGCACTTTCCTCCCCACCGTGTGAGATGTAAGGGGAGGAACAGCCAGGGAGAGCTGTACTGACCAGGACTGAATAAGGAAAGGATGAGTCTTGCAAAGACTGTGAAATTATAGTGAGAGTTTACAAGGGAAATGCTATGAAAAAGATTCATTCTTCACTTGACAAGTATTTATTGAGTGCCTAGTGTGTGTCTTGTATTGTTTTAGATGCTTGGAGCGATAGACACAAATAAAATATGTACAGTCTTTGTTCTCCAGAACCTTATAGTCTAGACAGTAGGCATTAGTTAAATAATGACCCCAATCATGACATAGTTGCAAGCTGTGTACTTTGAAGAAACAGTCGAGGAGGCTGTGGAGGGGGCCTACGGGTGACCATGGGAGGAATCTGGTTTGAGGATTAGAAAGACTTCCTAAAGGAAGGGATCTCTGAGTTGAGATTTAAACCATGAGCATGAGTTAAGTGAGAGTAGACAGCAAAAGGCTCTGAAATGGGAAGGGACATTGGCACTGAGAGTTCCCATTATCCCATATAACACCATTGTATAAATCGGGAAAAGGCCCCTCTCCGTCGATGTGGCTCAGGGTGTTCTGAGATTCACCCTGTCCAGGTCACACAGCTAGCTGGACAGGGTGGATTTCAGTCCCACTTGTCCCCACAGCCAAGCACTCCAATTGGATGGATCTGTAGGCAGTCCTTCCCAAGGCACTGTGCCTTTGTGAATTTGTGCCCTGGGTAAGACTAAAGAACCAAGGATGATGTGCCTGGAGGGCAGACACAAGGGGAAGAAGTGGGCAAGGTGAGCTGGGCTACCAAGCTGGGTCCAGTCGGGAATGCCTAAGCTGTGCAGAGGGCTTTGGTCTTCATTCTAAGACTAATGTGAAGGCCTTGAAGCAGGAAAATAACCCAATCAAACTTCAAGAATGGAGGCAGGCTGATCCGGAGCAAGGCTTCCTCAGTGATCTGGAGGAGAGATCATGGTGACCTGGACTAGGATGGGTGCCAAAAAGATGGAAGGAAATGAACAGACTGGGGAAATATTTAGGAGGATCAATTAATACGACTTAGTGATCGACTGGCTGTGAGAATTAAGGAGAAAGAATCATCACAGGGATTTCCCGGGTTTCTGGCTTGTGCAAGTGATATGGTTTACTGAGCTAGGAAATACCAGTGAGGAAGACACAGACACAAATGCACGCATGCGCACACCTGTGCACACACACACACCCCTCGCAGGAGTTGAGAAGATTAACTGTAATTATTTCATTCTTCTCCCTCTCATAGCCGCTCCTCCTTCCTGTTAAAAAAAAAAAAAAAAGGATTGTCCAGGAGCAGACAGATAAAAGTTCAAACTGAAGGCTCTCTGAGGTGGCTTCCACTACATGGTCTAAACAAATATGAAACAAAGTAAAAATCCCATCAGAAAACGATGGCGATACTATTCTAGCTTGCCTTTAGCTCTGATCTTTGAATTTGATGGTCAATTACTGGGATACCCTAAAAACAGCACTTAAAGTGTCTCTAGTGCCAAAAAGAAGTTCACAAACCAATGTACCTCTTGGTGGGTTGTTTATTGGTGACGATAAACACCTCTTGTTTATTGTTGTTGCTTAAAAGAGAAAGCCATTGCCCACACAGGAGCAGGCCAGTTCAGACTCAACCAGCCAGGACCTCTTTCCTGCTCCAAGCCTCCATTTGCTCACATGTGACAATGGCTCCAGGACCCAAATAATCTGTACTATGTTGGAATTAAACTTTATTTGAGCCGCAACCATATAAATATATGTACACCACATTACATACTATACAAGTGTGCCAGTCATCCTCCACCATCCCCCATCCAGTCATTCCAACTCCCAAGTATGTCAAATTGAGAAGAACCCAAGATGCAATCAGTTCACAGAGAGCATGTGCAGCCGGGAGGAGCACCATGCCTCCCAGAGGATCAAACGGGTAGGGCAATAGGCCGGTCTGGACAAGTCACACAAAAGTATTCCTTTAACATCTTGAACTCAAGTCTTAATTCAATTGCTATGAATTTCTCAGCCTATTTGGTTAACATTGAAATGGAATAAAAAATACAGCCTCCTCAAAACACATTTTTTACAAGAAAATAGTGGCTAGAAGGCAATTTAGTCACTTGTGATTCTGAAGAAAAAGGAAGGCCTTTCTTTGCATTACTGAGAGTTTTCAGTTGAAAGGGAAATGTAATCTAGGGTTGTTATATTCCAAGACAAAACACAAACAGGCATATGTAAATCTTGAATCCTATTCTGTGGTGCACTGAAATTGTGTAGGGGCAAAAAAGAAGTATGGCCATATTTTCCTAATGATAACTTTTCCATATAGACCTACATTTCATTGACACTTTTTTCTGTAAATATTTTTAATGTGGATAATCAGTTTCTGTCACTTGTCCAATACCTAGAAGTGCCTGACAATGTTCTAACATGAATTTCTGGATTGGTTTCAGAAACAGAGTGACTGGTAACTGTATCTGCAAATGGCTGGTCTATTTTGATGTGAGCTTAATTAATGCTGCATATGAAACTCCAAATGTCATAATCCAGGAGTTTTAAAATTTTAATTATTAGACAGATTTAGTTAACTTATTATAAAATGAAATTTGAATTTAATTTAGTGTGAGTATTAAATTCTTTTACAATAAATTCCTTTTTAAGAGAGAAGGATTTCATAAAGTCTTTCCATTATGATTTTAGCATGTGGATGAGAACTATATAAAAATGCCACAAATAAAATACGACTTTCATGTTACAACTTGAGCTACCAACTTGCAGGGGAGGGTTGGGCTGCCCTGTTAGGACGTCTAGTCACAAAGTCCAAGCCGCCGTCTGATGAAGTTGGAGATTAGGAGCTGGGGCCGTTGCTGGTACTCCACAAGGACATCATGAGGCAAGTTGATCTGATCACAGTCAAGTCTGTTGAGAAGTGTCACACAGACCACAGCAGCTAGAAGAACAATTAACACAACTGCTGGAATCAATGGGTTCATCTTCTCTATAGAAGCATTAGTCAAACACGCCAGCATCCATAGCACATGTACTTTGTGTATTCCTTTTTTGTAATGTAGACACGACCTACTGAAACTTCTGGTCTTCAATATAATTCATATTTTTGTGGAATCCCACCAAACACTTTATTTAAATAAGTTAACTGAAATTGTTGCAAACACTCCTCCTTCCTCTTTTCCTCCACAATTGACTCCACAATTAAGGCTCAGGAAAGCATCATATTCAAGATAAAGGAGAAAGCTTTGCAATCTGAGACATGCCATCTCCAGTTTTCTATCCTATTTTCAGTTCTTAGAGGAGGGTCTTCTTACTGGAGGATATAACTAGAGAACTAGCCATTATTCCCAAGGTGACATTTTACTCCTTGGTGCAATGGTTGAGTTTGCCTGCTGCATTGCAGCCCTAGCTGAAGAGAAAAGTAAATACAGAAGAGATATAGAATGCTGACCTCAGGAAATACCAATAAAGGTGAATACTGGTCCTCATGAAATTTGAGAGGAAAAAAACATGATATGAAATGCTTAAATGTAAGAAGCAGCACCATGAAAGAGCAAATATATTAGCATTTGATTTCTAAAGAATGAGAATGAAATCTTATGATAAGAAACTGGAGAAAAAAGAACAAAAGTCTTTTTTAAAAATTGAAACTCTCATTTTTGAAAAGTTGTCACAAGGGCAATGTCTTTGGTTTCATCAGCGAGAAAAATTGAGTTCCATATGAATTCTTTATTGTCAGTTTCACATCAAATCTTTGATTTCAAGGAATGTGGTTACTCACATCGAAATCAGTGTTAGCCACTTTGAATTGCTAACAGTGTGATAATCTCCATCTGAATCTGCATCATTTTAAAAAGGATTTCGGTGCATATGTGATTTGATTAGATGTGTCTATATTAACAAACTTGGAAGGCATGGAGAGAGTTGGGCATGAGGATAATGTTTATTTCTTTGACCTCTCTGCTACTTCAGACTTCTTTATAAGATCTAGATTTGGGAAGAAGTAGTATACTGTAATTATAATAGTACATGCTATCTTTATTTTTAAATGACAAATAGTAACTGTATATAATTATGAGGTACAATGTGATGATTCGATATATGTGTACATTGTGAAATGGTTAAATTAACCTAATTCACATATCTATCATCTCTTATACTTGCATTTTTGTGGTGAAAACAATTAAAATCTACTCTCTTAGAGATTTTTCAATATACATTATTACGAACTCTCATCACTATGCTATGCAATGGAGCTCTCAAGCTTAATCCTCCTTGTAACTGAAATTTTGCACCCTTTGACCAGTTTCTCCCCATTCCCCATCCCCCTATACTCTGGTAACCACCATTCTACTCTCTATTTCTATGAATTTGATTTTTCTAGATTCCACATCTAAGTAAAATCATATAGTATTTGTCTATCTGTGCCTGGCTTATTTCACTTAACAAAATGACCTCCAAATTCATCCATGTTGTTGCAAATGAGGGAGTTTCCTTCTTTTTAAAGGCGAAATAGTATTCCATCATGTATATATACCACATTTTAAAAATCTATTCATCTGTTGACGGACACTTGGTTGATTCCGTATCTTGGCTATTGCGAATAATGCTGCAACAAATATGGGAGAGCAGGTGTCTCTTTACAGCACACTGATACCAGTTCATTCAGCTATGTACTCAGAGGTGGGATTGCTAGCTCATATGGGAATTCTTAGTTTTTTGAAGAACCATCATAATGTTTTTCATAATTGATGTACTAATTTACATTCCCATCGACAGTATTCAAGGGTTCTCTTTTTCTCCACATCCTGCCAACACTTTTAATCTTTCGTCTTTTTTGATTATGGCCATTCTAGCAGGTGTGAAGAGACACCTCACCATGGTTTCAATTTGCATTTCCCTGATGACTAGTGAGGTTGAGCGGTTTTGTTTTGTTTTGTTTTAATATATCTGTTGGCCTTTTGTATGTCTTCTTTTAGAAACTATTCAGATCCTTTGCCCATTTCTCAATTTGTTTTCTTGCTATTGAGTTCCTTGCATATTCTTTATATCACCTTTTATCAGATGTATCAGTTTAGAAATATTTTCTCCATGTGTTTCTCCACATTTCTCCAATCCATGTATATCTTTTTTGTTTGATATGTTATTGCTACATGCCAAGCATTTATGATATCACTTAATCCTTTACAGCTGTTCCTTGAGCTAGGTATTATTTTTGTCCCCTTTTGACAGATGATTAAATGAGGGCTTAGAAAAATCAACCAAATGACCCAGTATTACACAGCTAGTCAGAGCCAGTCAACTCCTAGCTTCCTAAACTGATGAGAAGAGTTCTCTACCTTCCATCCATTCCTCCCCTGAGCTAGCACATGGTGAACCATTAGGCAATCCTGCCCTATCGGTTAGACTGACCCATTGGTCAGACTGACCGTCTTGTTCAGTGACGTGAAAAGCAATGAAAATATTCAACTTGAGCTGCGTCAAATATTTCATCACCTAGGACCCTATTTATTGAAAACTCAGTCAGTTGTAAAGCAACTTGGCTGTACAGGTAAACAAGCAAATGGAAGAGCTGGAAACTTCCCACAGCTTTTCAAGTTAATGATCAGCAAACCTGTGAAGCCTAACATGGGCTGGCAGTCACACAGAAAAGTTGAAAGTCCTGCTCTAATCCTTCACTTTGGCAGAAGGATAAAAGGAAACCAGTGCTCTATACTTTTTACAGAGTGGGAACCGACTTTACTAAATGTCTTTTCTGGATTTCAAGGGGAATGCCAAAGATAGAAAAGAACAGGTTATAGCAATCTCAGTGGTGTTTTCTTGACCCTTGAGAATCCACTAACGAGCAGCATATAATAATCTTGTCACCTAAAATTACTATTTCCATGAGCAATTAAAAGGGACTAATTACCCAAAACAATTTGCTGAAATTAAGCCTGACAGCTTTGCTAGCATAATCCTCAGATTAGGCAGGGAGGCTGGCTGCTGGGGAGGAAGAGATACTTAGTGACCCAGCTGCCACCAAGGAGATTGTCAATGAACTGACCTGAGGCTAGAATGTTCTGGGAACACACAGACCGGAACATGGAGCTTGATGCACCCTGAGCTGAACTAGGACTGCCCAGTGATTGTCAACCCTTTGGGAACATTTATGACCCCTTTGAAAATCTGATGAAAGTCTTAATTGGAACCTCTTTTCACACAAAAATACACTTCTGCCTATACACACAAAATATTTGTGTATAACTTCAGGGGTCCCAGGGTCCCTGAAAATTCACTCATGAATCCTTAGGAATCCATACACCGCTATGGATCACCACTTTAACCCCACCTCTCTGATTCAGAATGAACTTCCAACAAGGATTTCCCATGAACAATGGGCAAAAATAGCAGGGCTGGGCACAAATGCCCATGTGCACAGTAGAAGCCAAACAGGGCTGGTCTTTGGAAAATGGCAAAGCAGAAAAGATTAGCTTTGGAGTTCCCAGCCTGGCCTTTCTTCTACCTCTTCCTGGTTGTGTTCATACCCTCCCCCACTGCTCCTCAAGGGTTTGAGTTTATTAAGCAAACACTACCTTTGCTCCCTATATGCCTGGTATGTAAAGCACTGAAAATGTTTTTTAATCAACAACCCAGAGCCTTTGCACTTCCTGTATCTCCGCTGAAACATTAATCTCAGGCTGTTGGCTACTTATTAAAAACAAGGTGGGGAAAATTTATATTCAAAGGGGCTGGTCAACGGTAAGAGACATAGAAACAATTTGTTCTTCTAGATTGGTGTTTCTCAAAATGTGCTCCACTAGTTTCTTGCAACAGAATCAGAGATACTTAGGCTTTATTTCAGACATACCAAATCAGAATTGGGGATGGGGGTTGGGAAAGGGCAGTGAATCTGCATGAAAAAATCTTCCCAGTTAAATTATTTGTACATTAATATTTGAAAATGACTGTTTTAAAGACTTGAAACTCTTATCTCTGAATCATCATTACCACAAATGTACATACCTGGACCCCAGTTCTTTGGGTGCCCAAACAATGCTGAATTAGAACCAATTCATTATACCTATGAAGAATTGCCCCATACCTTTTATAAAGGTGCTATCAGAGACACTGCACATTATAATAGAGCTGATAATTTCATTTAAGTTTAACATTTGGATCAAGATTTTGTGACAAACTGCAAATGTTTTTGTTTAGTAGCTAAATTTTGAGATGGAGTCTTGCTCTGTCGCCCAGGCTGGAGTGCAGAGGCGCAATCTTGACTCACTGCAAGCTCCGCCTCCTGAGTTCACGCCATTCTCCTGCCTCAGCCTCCCGAGTAGCTGGGACTACAGATGCCCACCACCACGCCTGGCTAATTTTTTTTGTATTTTTGGTAGAGAAGGGGTTTCACCATGTTAGCCAGGATGGTCTCGATCTCCTGACCTAGTGATCCGCCCGTCTCAGCCTCCCAAATGTAGTGTTTTCATTTACAGCTTGGTTTCCAGGAAACTCGGAGCTCAATCTAAGTGTTTAAATTAAGTATTGTACTCCTGGGTGGCCTCTTTAATACTGATAACTTCTAGCCAGACACAGTGGCTCATGCCTGCAATTCCAGCATTTTGGGAGACTGAAGCATGAAAATTGATTGAACCCTAGGAGTTCAAGACAGCCTTAGCAACAAAGTGAGACCTCAACTTTGCAAAAACAACAACAACCACAACAACAAACCCACACCCCACACACACAAATTACTGGTGGTTTGAACCTGTGGTCCCAGCTACTCTGCAGGCTGAGGTGGGAAGATAGCTTTAGCCCAAGAGGTGGAGGCTGCGTGAGCTGTGGTCATACCACTGTGCTCCAACCTGAGTTACAGAGAGAGACCTTGTCTCAAAAAATAAAAATAAAAAAAGGATACCTTCCTATCTATTCCCTTAAATAAATGCCTCCTTTTTTTTTTTTTT